ATGACGTAGGTGGGTACAAATCCTCAAGATGCAAACACCTCCTTTTTTTTCTCTATGGGTTAACTGAGATCGTTCAAGGTCATTGAAAACGCTGTCCTATTGAAAAGGTTGCCGTAGCCCTTCTTATAGCGTCAGCTAGTTATTATTCTATGATCGAACCGCAACCGGCGCAGCCGCGCCAGTGAGAGTGAGTTTTCAGTTTTCACGCTTCGTAGTTCGTCGACTCGTCGTCCCTCAAATGCAATTTTTCTGTTTTAAGATGTGCGACAAATCAGTAGTCAACGCTACTTCCAAGTACTTCACTGACAACCTTGAGAAGAATCCCCATAAGCGTTTCGTTTCAGGAGAAAGAGTGAAGGCACCGTTTTACAATCAGCCTTGTGAAGAATTGGCAAAATGTCTCCTTGGTAAAATTCTGGTTCGTCAGCTAAGCAACGGCAGTGTACTTCGAGGGATGATCGTTGAGACGGAAAGCTATCTTGGCGGTGAGGATTTGGCATCTCATTCTTATGGAGGTAGAGAGACTCCAGCAAACAAACCCATGTTTATGAGCCCCGGAACTGCCTATGTTTACTTTACGTATGGAATGTATCATTGCTTCAATATTTCCAGCAAAGGTAAGGAAGATCATCCTCAATTCATTTTCTCAATGCTGTAAAACAGCAACTCCATGCCTTTCAGAGTGCAAAGCATGATAACCGTGTTCAAGGCCCTATACCACCTTGCAACAAAGGGTTTATTGGAACCATCAAGTTGGAAGCCCTCAGGGTTGATCACTCATGAAAACATATTTATCCAAGCCTCCACATTATTTAAGCAAACCGGCGTTTTTTTAGGGGGGGTTCTCTCCCTCACCCTTAGGAGCCAGTAATTCCGATTTGGATGGTCTTTATTCAGGGTAAAAGGACCCCGCACACCTCTTACGGGAAGCTGCACCAAGAAGAATTGCCTTCTGACTCATGATTATCGACTCTCCTCAAGATGCCGATCAAAAGTTATAATTGCGCCAACTTTCTACAATGCACCGTTTTCGCCAAAAACCTTTGAGAACATTCAATTACTCGGTGATGTAAAACCAGAAAGATTCCTCATTTCAGTGCTCGATTGAGAAGCGGCTGTGTGTCAACAAGGAAATCATGGGGACTCCCGCACCGAGCGGCAGTCCTATCTCGGATTCCGCACGCCGTTTTGCTCGACCGCTATCTAAATCAGATTCTTGAGGAGCATAAGAACAGGAAAGTCTGAACGTCTACCGGGCGAGTGCGGGAGGGAGATAGCCCCTGAGTCGGCAGGTACAGATAAGAAGACAGACATGCACTACGTTTTTTCCTTATTTACATCGGGCCTGTTCTCAAATGCTTTGTTCTTTTTTATTCATAGTCTCCAAACAATTGAATCTTCTCATAGTTTTTTTGCGAAAACGGTGCATCGTAGAAAGTTGGCGCAATTATAACTTTTGATCAGCATCTTGAGGAGAATCGATAAACATAAGTCAGAAGGCAATTCTTCATGGTGCAACTTCCCGTAAGAGTTGTGCGGGGTCCTTTTCTGCGTTTTCTAATTATGATGGAATACTTTCAACTGACTATGACTGCAACTTTTAAAGTGAGTGCCCTCCTTTTACCCACCAAGGGGGGCAGGGACGATGAAACTTGGATTCCGAAGGGTAATTCTCCTACTCTTGTCGACTGTCTTGGACTTCCTCCGGCCTAAAACCATTGAGAAGGAAGTCTGCATGGGTGGTCTGGGACATGCTGCACACGCGTGGCCTCTGGAAATCTTGCTTTGAAGAAAGAATCTACAGATTTAATAGTCATAAAACCAAACCTAAAGCACTAAGGAATATTAATTATTTGAATTTATCAAGATGAATGCTGAAAACATTGGGTTTTACGGCTTCCCTCCCTCTGAAGAATACTGTCGCAAGTTTGAATTTTTTTCCGTGTGATTCTGAAATTTTCAGACCAGGTACAAGTTATTGTTTATAGTCCATTGCAAATATGTTGAGGCACTTTCAGACTGGGATAAAAGATCCGCTATCTTGATTCTTGCATTACTTTACATGTATAAGTAACGTCAGACGATCTTGTGTCGCTGTTTAGAAATGCGTACCTGAACTTTTTTGGTGTCGACTCGAGTCTGTAGAAACTGCAAGTAATTTTTAAACCTCTAAAAATCAGTTGATTTGCATGGAAATACCTAAATCGCCTCGGCAGAACATTCCAGAACTAATGACGATTAATTTTTGGAAACCAGTGTTATCGCTTTTGATTGCAGGAGAGGGAGCAGCTGTGTTACTGAGAGCTGTGCAACCAATTGAAGGTATTGAAGAAATGCAGAGGAAAAGAAAACAGTTTATGGAAAATATGTATGCAAAGCGCAGAGCTAAACGTGGCCTTGAGAACAACATAAAAGCCTCTCTCTACCAAGATAAGAAGATCACCGAATTGTGCAATGGACCCTCTAAATTATGTATAAGTTTTGATATAGACATAGCCTCATGCAATAAGTGTGATTTGGTCAAATCGGATTCTCTATGGATTGAATATGGTGCTGATGGAACAGCTAGTGAGCCAATGAAAATTGTTGAAGCACCGCGCATAGGAATTGACTCTGCGGGACCTATCTGGGCAAATAAATTGCTCAGGTTTTACATTTTCGGAAGTGAGTTCGTCAGCCGACAAAACAAAGCTTGTGAAGAAAATTTACCAAGCTAGCTGAAAATACAAGCAGCAAAATCTTCTTTTCCATCTCCTCTCGACTCAGGTTTTTCAAGTAGGTAAGCAGCTAGAAAGATTTATCTTCTCTGCTACCGCTTAGTTATAATAATGGCTGGATGCTTAGAGCAGTCATAGCTCACAATGAATACCTTGTCAGTATTTTATACTGTCCACTCTTACAAGAATCCTTTCACGGCCATTCCAGACTTTTCATGGTTTTTCTGACAAACTGCCTATTACCTGGTAAGTAACTCATACTTCGTATTTCATCAATGCTTGTATCATCATTAATATAAACTTCGAAGGATTCTGCCTTTTTCTATTTCACTCGAGGGG